GCAGAGACTTTTTTTGCAGAACCTTTTATTACCACGATGAAAGTCAGATTCGAGATTTCATTTCCTGTCACGACCGAGTAAATGGGGCAAAAACGAAGGTGATTCTCGCACGAATTCATTTCTCAAACCTCTTGAGAAGTTCAGTCGTCATTATCAGACGGTTCATTACCACAGACGCAATCTGGCTATTAGAGCTGATGGTTTGCTGGTTCGAAAAGCCTGTCACCCTTACAAATAGGTTATGTAGTAGCCTGGACGTGGCTGATCTCAAATGAAACCCGTCCTTAGACACCTCATCCTTCTATCGTGTGCTCGTACATTGAGGGCACAGTTCACGTTGAAAATGGTTCCTGAGATTTTGCCCTACGATGAGCCTATGATCCCTAAGGATAGCCTAAGGGACGCTGTCGGGTCGAAAAACCAGTCAAAATAGCGTGTGATAAGGGACCCTAAAACCGACTTAGCCCACGTACACACCCCAAGGTGGACGAATTTTCAAGGCGCTTGAAGTTGTAGAGTTCGCACCATTCGCACCACGATGTACACGTTGTACGCAGGTAGCCGACTATAGCTGTGCGCAATGGCTTGCACATTTGCACAGCTCGTCCAAATATCTATTCCATTCCATTTTCGTGACATTCTCGTTCAACCCNTAATTTTACTTCTTTTTGAAGCCTTGTATCTCTCTAAATACGCCGTATTTGCACTATTCTGAACCATCACTTCAGAAAGTTCTAACTGGTGAGAATCCTTGTCATTTAAAACATATTTCAATGAGGCAACATAGTGAAAAATTGTAATACGGTATGAGGTGAGCAACTGCAATTCGAGTACTTAAATGTACTTACAATTGCTTGTAAGTCAATGACAGTGATCGAAGAGCATAGAATTCAAAAGAGCAATTTGGGGAATCAGAGTGTACGACATAGGGACCGGATCAAGTATTTGAAACAAAGTTTTTTACTGGTTCTTGTATATAAATGGGTATTACGGTAGTAAAAAGGTAGTAAAACGTCAGAGCGTTCTTTGAATCGTGAAGGCGGCCAGAAACGAACGGGCAAAAGATGATGATTACGATGTCGCACAGAGTAAAGCCGGAAATTTGGTGGAAGCCAAACTTGGCGGCACGAAATTCGATCACTTCAGTGCCATAGCATCAAAGCAGGTTTTTAGGGTTCTATAAAAAAGTATGAAAAATTGCATTTTGGTCAATCCGATGTAAAACCTTTAATAGGAATTTTCAAGTGATCGGTCATTGTCATATAGTTTTGAATGAAGAACTTTCAAATTTTCCGAAAGTTCCTGATGAATGTGTGAGATTACAGCCCTGCATGACTCAGAAGAAAGACAATAGTTGTCCCATGATTTCGTTCAGCCTTAGAACTCCAGTTTGTTGGCAGTACGTGGACGAGCAACAGAAATTAGCATTTAGAATCTTTTTGGCATAAATATTTCACATAATTACTGGCATCCTGTCATAGGCTCTTAAGTCCAGCGGGAGTATGGCTATATGGGCTATATATTTGATTCAAGAGACATTTTCAATCATTATATGTAGCATTCTGCTAGATCAGACATAATGGTAACCGAAAATTCCTTTGGCAGAGATAGCCAGACTTAAATTTCCCTGAAAAATCCGGACCCTTCTCACCCAATCCCTTCCCCCCCCCCTCCCCCCACTCCCTGTCCCTTCCTTCCCTGCGTGGCTGTTTCGGTTATTGAAATCAGGTTTTACTGAAAGATATTATGCTGACTTGGTCAAACTCTTTCGATTCAGTATGTGTACCATGTAGGCAATTCAACTCACCTGAATAACCAGTGCATGGCGCACCATTTAGGCAT